AAAAATAACATACAGGTTGAAATTATTCACAAAGTAAACGCAAGGGAAGGGGGGGGGGGTATTCTATCTTTGAGAACATTTTGAAAAGTAATGACGGACGCTAGTTGGGTGAAAAAAGGTTGCGAGTAATGAGAGCTAGGGTTAACATACCGGTACTTTACAAGTTACAATTTATGTGACATAATATTACCCCACCTTCCCTTCCAAATCCTCTCCCCTACACGGTAGAGAAGAGGGCTCTTTTGTTGCACAGCAATGTTTCTTTAGGCAGATTAACTCCTTTCGCCTGAAGAGGGCTTTAGAGGGGTGCATTTGTTTAGAAGCCAGGCAACGAGGAAATTAATATTTTGTGTTATGATCATTAACTGGCTACATGAACAAAAGCACCACAAACCCTCATGCACAGTTTCAAGTCTTCCACTTGCACCAACCAAACTGCACCATTAAGTAATATGTTGTGTTTACATGTACATTATAATCATTAACTATATTATACTGGCTACATGTACATGAACAAAAGCACCACAACCCCATGCGCGGTTTCAAGTCATTCACTTGCACCAACCAAACTGCACCATTGTCACTTGCAATGTTAATACAATCTCAAAAGCACACTATAGATGTCACCCGGCCTCACTCACAATTAGTCCACACAACAGCACTATAATCGTTTCTAAAATTCTAACTTCATTAAATTCTTTATGGTATCGATATACCTTAGTCACACTGCCAAACCGACTCCAGACCGACTCTGAGCAGGCTTTATTTTTGGTGACACGACATTTGCTCCTGCGACAATTGCTCCGGGCTTATTTCGTCTAAGATGTAGGGTTAGGGTTAGGGTTTCAATAGGGTTTTATGTTAGGTTTAGGGTTAGGTTTAGGGTAGGGTATAGTGTTGAATCCAGGGTTGAAGTTAGCCATTCGATTAGTGTATGAAATTTACAGCGGAGCAATTGTCGCCGGAGCAAATGTCATGGAACCTTATTTTTGCCATAGGGGTAATGTCATTTTTGGGTCGGTCTGTTTTCGGTCCGGTGTCAGTCTTGTCGGTGAAACTCAGGTGTAACTATAAGCTTTGCAAAAACAGTATAATATGTGTATAGTATTGTGTATGCATGGTGGATACCTGTATGTGTTGTTCATGTATGGTACTAATTTGTGGTTTACTGGTTGCTATTTTTTTTAATTCATTCAGAATGATAAATTATCATTACAGTGCCATAAAAAGCAATTAATTTCCCACCTCAACATTTCAATAGGCCAACTACAAAGCAAATTAACGAGGCATTTCTTTCATGATACTAATTTGTGGTTTATTGTTTTTTAATTATATTATTCATGATGATAGATTAAAGTGCCATAATTGAAAGCAATTAATTTTTCCCTGAACATTTTTATGTGCACTGCAAACCAAATTAACTACCTGTAGTTATTTTTATAGTGACATAATCCATACCATTAATTTTTCCCTCAACATTTTTATGTGCACTGCAAAGCAAATTGACTGCCCATAGTTATTTTCTGGTTACATAATCCATACTACACTACCTTCATATTAAATTTTATTACATACATATACATGTACATGTATTACATTTTATAGTCAGTTATTGATGTAGTTTCATGTCTAGTGTTCACTGTTCATGTCTAACGTTTCATTTGCATCTAATATTGGAGTAGCAAATTTTGTGACTTATGACATTTATTTCTCTCTTTCTCTTTCTTTTCCTTTTCTTTCTTTCCCTTCCCGTTAATATTGCATGTGAAAAAACTTAAATACCTTCTATTATTTATTTATTCATATTTTATTTCCTATTATACATGTATATTCTCTTTGAAACTACATGTATTTTTTGTCTTTTCTTTTTTTCATTTGCAATCCATGCAACTCTTCGTTCATCTGTTTTTGCCTTCGCTTTGTATCAAATTGATTCACTCCTTATCACATTCGCTTTCTTTTCTCTCTCTCTCTCTCTCTCTCTCTCTCTCTTTCTCTTTCTCTCTCTCTTTCTCTTTCTCTCTCTCTCTCTCTCTCCCTCCTCCCTCCCTCCCGCTCTCTCCCTCTCTCTCCCTCCCTCCCTCTCTCTCTCATGTCATCATTTGCATTGGCTGCTTTAATATCTTCTAAATGATCTGACATCATAACTTCCTTTTTAATTTCTCCGCTCATCTCTCTTCTCTTCTATTTTTTGGTCTACAATTTTCATCAATAATTTCTCATTTGATTTACCTCTTCATACTCCTCTGCACACACATGACATTGTAACATTCTGAATGTTTTTATCTATTTTTTACTCCATCTTTCTCATCATGTCGACTCATAATACTTTTATCTCTATTATCAAATAACTTTTCTCTTCTGACTTACTCCTGTCGTTTCTTAAAATTGTTTCTTTCTAATCTCTCTCATCTCATTGAATCATAATTCTAACATCAAATGACTTCTCTAAACCTCAATTTTTTCTCACAAATTCTCACTTTTTCTATAATTTATTCATTTTTTTTCTCCCCGTTCCGTCCACCCCCAGGTATACCATTGAGCTAACTCCTGGCTTCGTCTTTCCCTTTCATTTATACCTCATCCCATTCGCAAGCATAGTAGGAATATGTTTCATCGTAATGTTATGCTTCATGGTAAGTTTTAAAAAGGACCTCAAAATCTAGATGGTAACCATGACTACCTGGGTACCACACATGGTAATATACCTTTGAACTCTAGCGGCAGATTTGTGATGATGTTTTGCGATCAGTTTCCCCGCGTCTACGGAACAAACTCCTAGCATTGCCAAGAAAACAGTTCTTCACTCTACTCCTTCAAAACATCTGAAAACATACCTCTACAATTCTTATAGATTTCTTCATAATTTATTATTAGCCTCTGGAAAAGGAACTCAATAATCCAATTATCATTTATTACTATTTATAATATTTTCTTGACTTTGTTCAATATGAAAGAGATTTCATTCTAATTTCATTGGAGGATCAACATGTGATGCTTCATAAAGCAATGGGGTTGTCCTGTTGGAAAGTCTTTGAAATCTTACCTCGGACCTGTAAATGGGGATGATTCTAACAGGCATGCATTCATGGAGGTTTGTTTTTACCCAAACCGTTTCCAGGGGAAGTCGTGTCATCAATAATCATGACAATGTCATGCACCTTGGAGGGGACACAATTTTGCCTGTTTGGAGCCAGAAGGGCGTTACTACTTTCACACAGAGTTGAGTCCCTTCTGGTTCCGATCAGATGATTTGTTAGTTTTTTAAAGCCAAAATCTTACAACAACTTGTCGCCAGAGTTCAATGTAGGATAACTATCTGTGGTACCCGGATTTCGATGGAGTACTAGATATTACTGACCGGGGTCCAGATCCTTTGTCTGCATTAGGGTCCAGCTCCACATCCTGGTCCTGTTCCTGGTCCAGCTCCTACAGTATGTCTTCTTGGTTCCCATTTCATAGGAGTTTACCAAGATCAATAGCCCTCACCCTTTCCGTCTCCTCCCTATTATTGCTCTTCCTCCTTTTCATTGATCACTCCCTCCCCCCCCCCCCCCACCCCTCTTTTTTTTTTGGTTTAACCTTATTGCTTTCTTTAGGCATGACTCTTTCCTTGCACACCTTTGGCTACTTCTGGCTGCGTCCATGCAATGGCTTCTTAAGTGCTACTTTTTTGTTTTGTTTTTTATTTCAGTACTGATGCATGTTTTGGTAGATGTATTTTTATGTCTGTGACTGTGAGGGGATTTGTTTGGCAAAACCATGAGCTTAGCAGCAATAATTACACAAAAAGTAATTGCTCTTTTTCCATATTTCGCACCAGAAAGATTCTGTGTGAGCCAATTGGGCCTTATAAAAGAGAGAGAAGGACCCCCTCCTCCTGATAAAATGTCAAATTAATGTTCCTGAATTCTTCTTCTTCTTCTTCTTCTTCTTCTTCTTTTTCTTCTTCTTCTTCTTCTTCTTCTTCTTCTTCTTCTTCTTCTTCTTCTTCTTCTTCTTCTTCTTCTTCTTCTTCTTCTTCTTCTTCTTCTTCTTCTTCTTCTTCTTCTTCTTCTTCTTCTTCTTCTTCTTCTTCTTCTTCTTCTTCTTCTTCTTCTTCTTCTTCTTCTTCTTCTTCTTCTTCTTCTTCTTCTTCTTCTTCTTCTTCTTCTTCTTCTTCTTCTTCTTCTTCTTCTTCTTCTTCTTCTTCTTCTTCTTCTATGACCTGTTTGTCATTTAGAGTCAAATTGTGATGGAAAATCAGAGTGCAAAGACCTCAGTATTCAGTTATTTATGCCATTACACAGTTTGGTTGAACAGGCAGAAGAAATTTCCTTCCAAACCATAGCATCCTCATTGGACTCAGTTAAGACCCAGTAAGATTTGGGTACATTATTTGATTTTTCTCAGACAAGCGCAAATCACTTTGAACATCTTGCATTTTGAGAGCATTGAAAGCGCTCTGTCTCATGGCTTTGCTGCCATTTTCATTTCTCTCATGCATGTTGTTGATAGTTTCATCTTGTAATCCATTCGCTGTCTGTGCTTTGTACTTGAAATTAATTGCTGTTTCGTCAAGCAAGCATGCTAGATACCTATCATTAATCTTGCACATACTAATATACTTCTGCTTATGTCGGTACTTGTAAGGTTCATTTTAATTGCATGTTGTACTCCAGGTATCGTTTGTTTTGAGCCAGAATGGCATTACGTCATACCTGTATGCCTTAACACAGAGTTAGTGCCCTTCAGGCTCTAGACAGATGATATATGCCGTACAAGAAGTCTCATCTGAATGCTCCTATTCTAACGGTGTATATTCTTTATGTTAGCATGGAACCTCTTTCACACTCGCACTTGAATAGATTCAGATCTGTATTTTATAATCTATCCATTGGAAGTAGTCCAATGTGAATGCTCCCATTCTAGCTGCATACATTTCCTATGCTAGCATGAAACCCCTTTCACACTCACTCTTACCTTTAGACCTGTATTTCAACTATGCTATTGTCTAACAGGTGGGTGATGGCGCTCTACCCTTTCACATATTATCCCTGGAGTTATTACTTGCTTCCTTTCCTTTGTATGAGCACTTCTTGCACTGCTTTCCTCATCCTGTATGCGGTGAGTATTCAAGTCCTACCCCCCTCCCTCTTCCCTCTTCGCTCTACCACATCCTCTCCTCGCTCCACCGCGCCCCCTCCTCGCTCAACCGCGCCCCGTCCTCGCTCAACCTCTCTCCTCACCTTTCCCCCCTCATCTCCCTGCCTCTTTGTCGTTTGCCATCGGGTCTGTGGTAGTTTAAAGCTCTGATGGGTGTGTTCATACGCTGATTTAATTCAATCGTGATTTGATGGAGAGGAAGATTATTGAATCTTGGAGATTAGTTGTACATGTACAACACATGCTCCTGCAACAATTATAACAGAATTCCTAAATTCAATGGTGGATCAGGCATTACACCTAAACCTAACAAAGAAAATCCAACCCTATCCCTAATGATAAGCGCAAAATAAGCGCCACACAAGTCAGAGGTCCAATATTAGACACATGCAAGGCAAGGTACGCTTATTTTGCGCTAATTTTTAAACCATGGATTATGTAAATGAGGGTTTAAACCATGGGTTAATTCTAAACCTCCTTTGTGAAGACGAAATAGAGCCTGGAGCAATTGCCGCCAGATCAAATATCGGATCACCTGAAAACTTGGCGCAGTATACATGAATCATTCAATTGATTCTTCGGCACTCCTCAGTGTCGAGACCTGTCCCCCATCTCGTCTCTCACCATGACTCACTCCGTGCACATCCCGTGACAGAAATCTGATAACGGCTCCATTCAAACCCGTTTCATTCATGTATGAACACATCCACGTAGAGCTTAGAACTCGGTGATAGACCAGTGACAAGGCTTTGCAGGTAGCATTGAGGTTTAGCTTGGATATTCTTTTGTTTATTTTCTCCCCTGTTTGGTCATTTTTATATTATGTTGTGTTTTCAGGTACCATGTGGTCCTTTTAGCCACTGAATCCCCATCCCTGGGATTTTACTTCTTACCTTTCATAAGCGTCACGTCCACTTGTCTCCTCTTCTTTGCCATGTATGCGGTAAGTAGGGTCGTACGATGCCCCCCTCCCCCCACCCCTTTATTACCCCCCTCCCCACCATCTTGCCCCTGTGAAGCTGTGCACTGGTTCAAAGCATTGTTTGTTGACGGAGCATTTGTGAAACCTGGAAGTTTATAAATATTCGATCTTCATGTCTCGTCTTCTTTGCCATGTGTGTGGTAAGTAAGGTCGTCCAGGCTTCCTCCCCCCCCCCCCCCCCACGTTCGTACAGTGGGGTTCGATATGTACATACATGTATAGAAACGGTGGTTCTGAGTGGCAAGGCACGATAAATGCACCCTACATCAGCCCCCTTTGTGGTAAGTAAATGTAGATGTGTTGCCCTCATTGTTGTGGCTGGTAAGTACATTTATCTAGTGTCTCCTTTGACACATTAAAACCCTGAGCAATAAGCGAGTTCGTAAATAGCTCTGGAACGCATGACCCCAAAATATCCACAGATCTTTTACACGATGGATACGTCCCACGTGTGCATTTTAGAGTACTCACTGCCAAAGGTATAGAGGTGCTTCATGAATATCTTTTGTTTGCCTCTTGAGAAGAATGCTTCCACCTGTGTATCAGATAAATGTAACGTTGGTGCATAAATGAATACTGATTACATAACTTTCATGAGCACGATCCGAGTATTCGTCTCAATGGTTTTACAATTTGGGTACAAATGACCTTTATCTGCTCATGCGCAAATCCTAATTACGAACTCGCTTATTGTTGCTGGAGCAACTGTCTGATCACCTACTGGTCTTGCATGTCTCTCACTATGAACATGGCGGACAAAGAAAGCGGACAAAATATACAGTTCCTCAGGTAGACAAAGGAACATCCCTTCACTGCTACATGTATTATGTAAAAATGTGTAGAACGGGTGAATATGCATGTGACACCTGTTCCACACATTTTTACATAAAAGCAGTGAAGGGATGTTTCTTTGTCTACCTGAGGAACTGTATATTTTGTCCGCTTTCATTGTCCGTCATGTTCATAGTGTCTTCTTGAGATAAAGGTAAGCACTAAATACATCAGGGCCCTGTTTCATATAAACTTGTTATCAATAACAACTGCCATAGATCTATGACAAATCTGCTCACAGCCAATCAAATGCAAGGATTTCAGTAGCTTATAACAAATATCGTAACTTGTTATTGATAACAAGTTTTATGAAACAGGGCCCAGGGAGTCATTCACAAAGCCTTTTTTCAATGAAAAATGACAAAAATCAGTGACTAATCTGCTGATAGCCAATCAGAAGCAAGGATTTCACTAGCTTATAACAAAAACTGTCATTTGTCACTTTCGACAAGTTTTGTGAAATGGGGCCCGGCTCGACAATTTGGACTCTATCTGGACTCTTCCTGTTATACCATTTAACACCACCAATGCCCCGCATATGTTCTTGGATGAGGCATTAAAGTTGTATTTAACATCTAATGCATTTGAAGCCTAGAGTAGCTTTATCTATCAACAGAGATCTACATTTGGGATTGTAGTTGACGTTGTGTTAGTTTGTTTGGTGGGCGTCGTTCAATTTCGAATATTTACGCAAGATTGAGCATACTATGGATTGAACCGAAACATTGTTGGCTTTTACCTTGGATTTAGAAGCATTTATTAAAGGGATCATTTAACAATGTTAAATCTGAGATACACGGCCCTACTTGTTATCAGTGTCTGTGATATGGTGTAACAATGACAAAATTGCGCTTCAAAATGATCAAGAAGTGCCTCCAAAAAGTAAAAAATCTTTGAGTGACCAGTTTTACCATACTCGTTTTCCCCAATAGACTATAGTGTTTAATTCCAATCATAAATATCTTGATAACCAGACAGGCAATCGGCTTGTAAAAGTCATGGGGTTCCTGACTGACCTAAAGGTTTATACATTATAATTATCATTGCACCATGAGCTAAATCCAGAATTTTGTTTCAGAATCTGAGACAAAGTTACCAGATCCCTTTAAAGATGAGAAGTTTTTTTTGCAAATTTATCATGTAAGCTTTTGCTTCACTTATCATAAGTTAACAACTTGAAGTTTGCATTATGATATCAACAAGCTGTCAGTGAAACACACCCATCTTCATTCATTATTCACTGATGAAATTTTGATAGCCTATAGACATGGCCAGATTTTAGCTTTTCATCTCGGTGCATGTACATGCATTGTATGCATTACCATAAACTAAAATATCAGCCAAACATTTGTCAGTGTTCGTATCTATTGAACCATAGTTTGCTTCCTTGTTTTATATAAACTCCCATCTGCTTTTTGCTTGGACATACTGTTACATGTACAATTACAAACAGGTAAGTAGACAATTCATGGCACGCCCTTTCATATTCCCTTTTTCTGTACTATCTGGTGATTAAAAATCATATATTCCAAGGATTCATAATACTGGAGATTTGTTTCTCTGCAGATTCATGATTCTAAAAGTTAAATAGGGCTCATTGATCCTAAGGTTTGTAATTACGAAAATATTCATAATTCTGAAAATGAAATAGGGTGCGTAATTCCGAAAGATGAAATTGGTTTCATAATTCTGAGAATGAAATAGGGTTCATAATTACGAAAATGAAATAGAGTTCATAATTACAAACATGATATAATTCTGAAAATGAAATAGGTTTCATAATTATGAATATGAAATAGGTTTCATAATTCTGAAAATGCAATAGGTTTCATAAATCGGAAATGAAATAAGGTTTCATAATTCTAATAATAAAATTGGTTTCATAATTCAGAATAATAAAGTAGGTCTCATAATTCCGAAAATGAAGTAAAAGTTTTATAATTCTGAAAATTAAATAGGTTTCATAATCCTGACAAAAAACATTACTATTAGCATTACCATTACCAATGAAATAGGTTTCGTACTGTAATTCTGAAAATGAAATAAGGTTTTGTAATTACAAAGTTGAAAAAGGGTTTAATTCCGACAATGAAATAGAGTTAATTCATATCTAAAATTAAATAGGGTTTGTTATTTTGAGAATGAAATATGGTTCTTCATTCCAAAGGTTCTAAACTCCGTAAATAATACAGTGTTCTATATAATTTTCGAAATTTTGAACCCTATTTCACTTTAGGGAATACGATTCGTTTCAATTTCAGAACAATGAAACCCATTTATTTTTTCGGAAATATGACCATTTGGAATTATGAACCTTCAAAATGTTGCGTCTTCAGAATTTAAACCTCAGGAAGTACAAATGTTAGGATGAATGAACCTTTGGAATTATGAATCTTTGAAAAACAATATGTAACTGAATTGAGCATTAATGTGTAGCACAACTACTAGTAGTGCATAGGATATAGGAGTTGTCACTGGTGTTTGTGTATTAGATTAAATGCAACTGGAAAGTAAAGATAATGAGAGTCTTTTACCAGTCAGAAATAGGTTCATCAGACATGCATGTCTCCCCTAACAGGTATAGGATCGCTCTGTATCCTCATTATTTCCTTTGGATATATTACTTCTCGCCTTTTGTTGTCATCACTCTCATCTGTACTTCTTTCTGCTTCGTATTCTCGGTGAGTTACGGTGTCTAAGGGGGTCTGCTCGCTATTTATAAGGACTGCTATTATAAAAGACCGCTATTCATTTAGTAACGCGTTATAGATAGCGGTCCTTATGAATAGCGGTCCTTATGACTAGCGGTCCTTATGGATAGTGAGCTTGACCCTGTCTAAGTCATATAGTTTCTACGTTGTGTCTTGTAAGTATGGCTAAAAGTGTTTGTTTCTTATGAATAATAATAAATAGATTAATTGATAAATAAAATTCTTGGCCTGCAAACTAGAACCTGGAAGGTAAGTTACAAACTAGATTATTCATACCCTTACCAAGTTATATCATTTTGTAAGTATGTGATAACAAAATATTTGTCCCTATATATCTTTATGAGAACGTGATTTATTGAAACAAAAGCTGTCATGTGTCACTGATGACAAGTTTTGTGAAATGCCCCCCTGGTGGTTCTTGTGTTAAGTCAATGGGAATGAGAGAGTTCAGTCAGAGTCAGCTGGTTAATCACTGAACAGGTAGAAATGTCTGTTGTTCTTGCTTCTCTTCCTTTTTATTTATTCACCCAATTTTCACCCCCCCCCCCCCAATCCTGACCCTTGGCCCGTAACCCCAAACTTGGCATCCCCCACCCCTCTCGAATGGGGACAATGGTGTCTGTGCGAAAACAAAGGATCTGGACCCGATTTCAATTCTTTATGAAAATGTGATATTTTCATTTTATATAAGTAATAGAATGTGACGTAATCATTTTATATAAGTAATAAAATGTGATATTTAATTTGATATAAGTAATAAAATGTGATATTTAATTTGATATAAGTAATAAAATGTGATATTTAATTTGATATACAGTAAGTAATAAAATGTGATGTTTCATTTGATATATGTTGTGGAATTACACTTAGTTAATAAATTTGAATTTGATACAGTGTATTAAAGTTTTTATTTGTAACACATACATGTATGGCCATATAATATTTAAGTATCGGCTATTATTAAATTGTAATTATATTGTACTGGTAGTCAAATTTATCGATGAAATTTTCTTGAGGTATTTTGTTTAAATTTTAAATAAAGCATAAGCATATGGAAATAGCATATAGACTATTTTTCTAGATTGTAATATAAGAATTGTGTTCATGATTGAAAAAAGATTTATTGTAAGGGGATTTGTATTAGCTGGTATAATAAAGATATTACAGTTCATCAGAAATTAACATAACACCAGCAAAAAATAGGGTTTAACAGAAATATTGTGTTATCTATTGCATTCCACAGATTGCAAAGTATGTGAGAGATCAGCGAAGGCAAAGGAAAGCCAGACTCTCCCGTGACCATCTCAAAAAGCTGCCTATCAAGAAATTCAAGAAGGGTATGTTTGGTCATTGTCGTATCTGGACACCTACCCCCTGGACATCCACCCCCCCCCCCCCCCCCCCCCCCCCCGGATAACCACTCCCAGTCAACTTCCCCCTAGGACAACTACCCCCCTAGGGCAACCACCCTCTAGGCCGACTACCACCCGGACAACTACCCCCAAACAACTACCCCCTAGGACAACTACCCCCTAGGACAACTAGTCCCTGGACAACTAGTCTCTGGACAACTATCCCCGGACAACTACCCCCAAGGACAACTACCCCCGGACAACTACCCCTTAGGATAGTTGTCCGGGGGTAGTTGTCCTAGAGGATGGTTGTCATAGGGGGTAGTTATCTGGGGGGTACAGGTAGTTGTCCGGGGGTTTGTTGTCCGGTGTCCTAGAACTGGTCATTGTTAATCTAAGAGATGATGATTGGTATATGTACCACAAAATCAAAGAAGAGCATTGAAGAGAATCATACTGAATCTTTTCATATTGCACTCATCAAGAGTTATTGTAAGGAAAAGGTTAATATATACATGTACAGTGAATATGCTTTTTAGTAGATCACCCCACTTTTTTTCGCCTTTTAAATGTATGTATCATAATTATGATTATACCTTTTGTCATATCTATTACCATGTACATTATGTTCCTTTATTGTATGATTATTTATAATTATTACCATGTATATTATGTTCAATTATGTTATTTTCAATAAAATGGAAACAAATCAACATCAAACTTGAATATAATATAAGATTAGGCTCTGATTGGTTGGTGGGAGTAACAGAAAGCTAACTGTAAAAGTAGCTGTTTAATAAAACATCCTGTTTAATAGTAAGGGTTGCTATTACAAGTTTAAAGGGCAATCCGACCCTTGGGATAAGTTGAGTTCTATGGAAGTAGAAAAATAGCAGAAACAGAATGCCAAAAGTTTGAAATGGATCGGACCAATAGTAAGGTAGTTATGAATGTTTGAAATGTGAGATCACTAAGTCTATCCGCATCTCAAATTGGTAGTTTGGTACGTGGATAACTCTCCAATTTGCCATGTACAAAAATATCACTAATTTCTGTTTTTCTCATACGTTCCTTCTTTTTAAATTCAACTTTGATAAATGCAAGTTGATCAATGCAATAATTATTAATGTTATTTTAATAAATTTAATTTAATAAATGTAATTTTATGTTTTCAAGCCGGGTTTTACATCACGTATTCATGAAGATCATACATAACAATATTTAATAATTGTATTTTATCGAATTATTTTGTATATATACTTCATGATGTTACAGTTTAATCATTTAATTTCCATTTTTTAATGATCAATAATAATTTTTCTCTTAAACATTATCAAAATGTCCTGCTCCGACTCTCAAACTGTATACCTGATCTTACACCCTTTGAATTTCTATTTATTTCATATCCAAGTATGCAAACCGAACTCAATATTATTATTGTTTTCATTATCTATGATTTATTTACTATGTACTGTTTATATCTGGATTCATTTAAAAGTGTTTAAGCATATAATTATATTTTTTATGTCTATGGAATTATTTTTACCTTGTAAATTCACTTGTATCAGCCTCCAGCTGTATTGTTGAATATTCGAATAAAACCTTATCAAATCAAATCTTGGGGCACTACTCAAAATTTATCATAGGTAGCATATTATTATAGGTCCTTTCAAAATAATAGACCCTCCTGAGCCATGAACTTATGAAAAATTCATATTTAGTCATTTTGTATGTTAGAACAGATGAGAAAGTAGTCCGGCACCACAGCACATTGACATTACCACTTCAGCTAATTTGAAGTGCCCATACGTATAGTGATTATAACTTTAATATATTCATAACTTTCTTATATTTAGTCAGATTGAATTGAAACTTTTCATCAGTTTGCTTCTCTGATTTTTCTGCTTTCGTTTAGAGCATCGGTAGTTGTCTATTTGGGATGGATTTCCCTTTAACATCCCTAGTTTCCCATTATTTCTAGCAGCCAATCGGATGATAGCGCCAGTCTTCAAATACATGTGTGAGGGAGGCGTCTGAAGCAAAGATATCCAAACTGTCACAAGAAAATGATTTTTGGCTGTGTCTTTAAAAATTATCTCTTATAAATCAGGCCTGATAATTACCTGAATTAAAAAAAAAAAATCCAGATCTTTTGTTTCCCCCTTGATTTTACCCCTATTTTCCAGATTTTCCAGATTTTGCATGATTTTTCATGATTTTTCCAGATTTTTTTCCAAACAATTAATCAAAAGCTAGGGGGTGGGGGGGGGGGGGGAATGTTGTTCGATGCCATTTTCTTCCCCCCCCCCCAATCTTTTTTCGTAGTGCTCATTATCACCCTCGATAAATGAAACTTCCTTATGCATTTATCTTTCTGTTTTTTCTTCTTCAGGTGATGAATATGATATATGTGCTATCTGCCTTGATGACTACGAGGAAGGTCAAAAGCTGCGCATACTGCCTTGCAACCATGGTAACAAATAACATATAATTAAGTGTTAAATATTTCGTATCTATCCTCATCTTAAAGGTACTATGTCTCATTTGCAGGCTATAAAAAATGAAAAGGTTAATGGTACTACATGTATGTCCCTTTTGCAGCCAACCTCAAATTCTGTAGAACTTTGCAGGAATTATGGATATGTCATGTATGTCCTATCTGTGAAATTTAAACGTTAGCAGTGTCCTCATATTCAAATTATGCAAGGAAAGTGGGAAACCCGTTTACTTTCTAGACTTACTGTCAGACACTATCGAGTGACTGACTGGCTTTTTTTTTTCTTTGGTAATAACATACATAAAACAAGCTGTAAAGGGTACATGAGCATTTGTCTACATCAATAACCCACTTCTTGTGATGGCCAAAATCAAACTGATTGAATCTTTGCGCAGCATAACACGTATGACCATTCGGTACAATAGTCTGAAAATCAAGACTATTATTGGCTCTATAGCTCCTAAGTCGATTTGACAACTAATAGTCATTATTTTGGGAAAATAACGACCATTAGTTGTCAAATTGACTTTAGTGATTGCAATCCATTTAGTAATAGTGTGATTGATTTTCAGACCCTTGTACCGAATGGTTGTGCGTTTTGTGCTGCGCAGAGATTCAATCAGTTCAATTTTGGCAATTAAAAGTAGTGGGTTATTGATTTAGATAAATTCTCATGTACTCCTTACAGCTCATTTTATGTAAGTTATTACTAAAGAAAAAAAAAAGAAGTCAGTCACTCAATAGTGTTTGACAGTGAAGTCTAGAGAGTAAATGGATTTCCTTGCATAATTTGAATATTAGGACACTGCTAATGTTTAAATTTCACAGATAGGACATACGTGACATATTCCTAATTCCTGCAAAGTTCTACAGAATTTGATGTTGGCTGCAAATGGGACATAGGACCTTTAAGGTTGACTGACACCGTCAACTTCTTCGGCATTCTGGTCCTTATTTTAGAGGATTTACTACGCTAACATGCCTCAAGATCAAAAGCTGAAAAGACCCATCTTTTTCTCTGTTTCATTTATTTTTGTTTTGTCAGTCTCCTGGCCCGTGAGGTCTTGGACCTTTTGGAAATTTCTCTCTTTATTTGTCCCAATATCTATTTTATATTTTACTTCATTTCATCAAAGATAAATGATTAGGGTTTGGGTTGCAATTTGGTCTTAGATTAGTTTTATGGTTGAGATATGGGCGGAGTGTTGTGATTTTACCAGGGTTGAAGTTAAGAATTTGATTAGTGTTGGAAATTGACCAACGAAAATAATTGTCTTATTGGCATGTGTCATACAATGCTCCAATAAAAAGGCCTTGAAAAATTCATTCAATATCTCCTTTGTACCATTCTCCAGCTTACCACTGTAAATGCATAGACCCCTGGCTGACGAACAACCGTCGCACCTGCCCCATCTGCAAGCGCAAGGTCATCCCTCCGGGCATGGCTGACTCGGATGAGGAATCTGACTCCGAAGCTGGCGACGCCCCAAACGAGAACACGCCCCTCCTGTCTAGCATGCATTCGGACAACCTGAGCGACCATGGCGCGGTGGGTGGACTCGCCGAGACGGCGACTCCGCCCCCATCCCCGATGACGTCCGTTGAAGGCGATGACTACCCGCCCATCGACACCTTGATCAAGGTTGAGTCGGATTCGGAATCTTCTGGGAGTTTCCCGCTTGAGGAGGCCAAAGGGAACATCCAGGACCCACCCAACAGTAACGTGCTCAGCGTGACCGTGCATTCTGAGAACGAAATAGATCCAAGCACAAGTAGTGCTCCCAAAGTCTGAATCTCCAGATGATCTAATGGGACATTTGTAATCGAAGGAATGAACTGCGTGAATCATCGTCACCCGCTAGCAATTGACATCATAGAACCTTGATGATAATGAAAGACAGAATAAATGACTGACTGAATGACTAAAGGAATGGATTGAATGAACAAAGACGAATCGATTAAGCGCCATTTCAATCTTGCATCGTTATCACAATGATTCATTTATGAACAGCGCCCTCACCCCACCAATGGCAGGCAGTCGCATTTCCTGTGATACTCTCCATGATTTCTGCACTTTCATGGTGGGAAATTTTCCTACGGCATCAAAGAAGGAGTTGGGATGAATATGATTTCCAAAGCAGCTGTGCACTTAATGTACACGTATCTAAGACAAGCTAACGGACGCTAGCTTCAGTTGTCATGGTTAGCAGGTTCTGCTAACTTATTTTTTTTTTATAGGGCACTTGTCTTTGAAGTATTGAATGTGATTATCATATGGCCTTTTTGTAGCCAAAAGGGCATGTAACTCTGTTCCAAGTATAATATACATGTACTTGAAGGGGGTTAAATCATATTATGAGTTAACGCTCTTCTGGCTACAAAAAGACGGTATCGTGATGTACATAGCACTGTTTTTGTGCTAAAAAATCTAATACATTATTTGACTTTATCACTTTAGAAATGATGATCATTAAGTACATATTGAAAATATTGTATACCTCTGATTATGCACATTCACATAAAAAAAACAAATTTCATCATTTTGTGTTATGAGTTGCATTCATGGATGTAATTTTTCTCCTCTTTCCATTTACTTTCCATACATACATACATGTAGCTTTCTTTTCACCCTATGATCATTCACTAGGTACATTATACACTCTAGATATTTCTGTCAAACCCATATTGTTGATTCATACTGTATACAAATTACTTGAGAGAAAAAGTGAGGTATAAAGATATTAATTTTGTTCACTATATTTTGGGGAAAATTGAGAGATCTTATCATCTTGTTATGTAAGAGGAAGCACTTATTTTATTTTTTTAAATAAAAAGTTAACAACTATACACTAATACAGTGGCCAATTTTTAAACTACCGGTATAAGACTTTATGGATAGTTTTCAGAATGCTGCTCTACTATGAAGCATTTTAAACACCCTTGTATTATCAATCCAATTTAAAGTTGCATTTCTAATTTTGCTTGTAATTAGCTCTTAATTTTTTACAAACATTTTTATATTGAGTTTCCCTTTTGTCCAATGAATGTATTTTCATGTATCTGTGCCTTAGGTACAGTGTGTTGTATATCATTGAACTCCTGTTTTCATCAGTTTCCCCTCTGCAAAGCACACGCACATCTAGGAGTCGCAGAAACTTTTTAAAGCCTATCTGCACTACCTTGGCCAGGAGGGATTAGACCTCCCTGCATGGTCACTGACAGGTGGTTATCTCATCAAATCAGTTCTCAATTACCGTAACATAAGAAAAAGGGGACCATGGGGGACCAATGGTCACCGATTAGGCATTGTCTGCTATATAGAGGGCACAAGTAGCTATAAGTCGTGTAGTGGGGCTTTAAAGGGAAGAACTTGTTTCAGCAGCTCCATATAAACTAGGTCCCAATTCACAATGGTGCTTTGAACCTGACTTGTGGCTTTGTGGCCCCTCCCCCTATCAATAAAAAAAAATATATATATATTTTGTTTGGTTTGAAAAAAATATATACCAGTAATGGTATAGGTAAAAACAAGATTTAAATTTTTGAAGAAGAAGAAGAAGAAAGGACAAACAATACAGTTGTGCTCTTTGTGCAGTAATTTAACATTTTGCTAATTTTGATGACCCCCCCCCCCCCCCCCCCTCCCTTCCTTCCTTCCTCAATAAGTAGTAATTTTTATACATTTTTTGGAAAAATATATGGAAAAAAGGACCTTTTTTCACTTTTGAAAAAAAAAATTGATACAGTTGTGTTCTTTCTGTCGTACTGTATTTTGACTGTTTTGCTAGTTTTTATTCTTATCTCCTTTTTTCTTGGCTGCAAATATTAAATTAATAATTTAGACAATAGACTAGGTTTAAATCACTGTTGTGAATTTGGGGTTTGGAATCTACATGGTACTATGCAATCCTAATCTTCAAGTATAAGGATACCTTAAGTTATATTTTCATACATTAAAGTGCTCCATAATGCGATGGAATAAAAAAAATATATACACGCATATTACAGGCATTTATCTATATATCTACACCGTATTATACATTTGTACTATACTTCATCTTCATATTAGTAATAATTTGTCTTCATATGACATTTCCGAGATTTGCCCTAAAATAAAATCCTTTCCGTAGTGTATTACTTAAAGGCATCATTTAACAATGCTTAATCTGAGATGCACGGCCTTACGTGCTACCAGTGTCTGTGATAAGGTGTAATATTGAAGCCCTAAAAAACTATCGCTTCAAAATGATCAAGAAGTACCTCAAAAAGTAAAAAATCTTTGAGTGACCAATTTTACCATACTCATTTCCCCCAATAGACTGTAGTGTTATGAAAACCGTTTGGCAAACGCAAAATTTGGTTTCGATTTCCAATCGTACGGTAAGTATCTTGATAATCAGACAGGCGATCGACTTGTAAAAGTCATGGAGTTCCTCCTGACTGACCTAAAGGTTAAATTATAATTATCATTGCAGCATGAGCTAAATCCAGGATTTTGTTTCAGAATCTGAGACAAAGTTACCCAATCCCTTTAAGGCCCTAGTTGTTCAGATATGGGGCGGCAAGCCTCCGCATCAAAGCTGCCATGGGTTTTTTATGTGTAAACATGAATGGTAACTGTGCAGTAACAAAGGACTTGTGTGTATACATTGAGCTCTGTGTTATAAGATAGAGAAATCAGAAGCGCATTACACTTATTACACATTACACGTGTCTGAACGAGCCTTTAGTAATGACTACCGGTAATAAACGTTTAATGTAGCGTACACTCGGTTGCAAATTCACCCATCTTCTTTTTTTTTAACCTTTGCTTTGCTGTGTCTGTTTGCATCGTGTCTGAACGAGCCTTTATTAATCACCGAATATAGCATTTAATGTAGTGTGCACTCACTCAATCACTGAATTTCTGTTTACACCTTCGCTTGTTCTCTGCTTAGAGCCGTGTAGAAGAACATGAGCAAAAGTTTTTCTGGCTCTGAACAGAAAATATAAGATAACGAGCTGCTTCAGAGATAGCACTTGTTCAAGTAACCCCATCCCTGCCCCAAGTATCCACAGACCTTTTATACATGGAGACGTCCCACTTTAGGCATTTCAGAATAATCACTGCCAGAGTAGTGGAGGTGCATCAGGAATACCTTCTGTTTGCCATCTTGAATAGGGTAGAATACTTCCACCTGTGTATCCTAGAATTTACCATTGTTGCATGAATGAATGAATAGTGATTACACAACTTTCATTGACACGTATCCAGGGCCCCGTTGCACAAAACTTACCATTGATGGTAACTTTGCCATCAATGGTAACTACCATGGAAACCCCGATTTTGTTTGGTTGTTGAGCCCTGTTACCATGGTAGTTGCCATTGATGGCAGTTACCTGCAATGGTAAGTTTCATGCAATGGGGCCTTGCAGTCGTCTTGACGGCTTTTACAATGTTGGTACGAGTGACCTTTATCTGCTCGTGCGCAGATAGCATTTCCGAAGTAGCGTATTGAGTTGATGCCATGCTAGTGTATGTACACATGTACATGTGATGACATGCAAGAAATCACGTCGATGACAATTTTATACCTATTGTGTTGCCTATAGAAACCATGTTTGGATTACATAATACATGTACATTGTCATATTCGCTCATTACGTAAGATGAAAGTCAGGAGTTAAAATAGGCCGTTTTCATAATGTAATCAAATTTAATGTCCAAATATTTGTTAAGTGCCTCGTTAAAAGTTATTTCATTCTCCTGTTACAAATATTTGTATTTCTATACTGGTAGTCAGAATACCAATTGACTGCAGTCCCCATTCTGACTTTTGAAATACAAATATTCATAAAGCTGAATGAAATAATGTGTATCATGGCACTTAAAGAGAAGGTTGAGTTCTGGGAAGAGGTGAAAAATAATTTGTGAGCGTTATCATTCGTATTATGCAAGTGTGGAAGAACATAAGATAAGACATGTTCCCTGAAAAGCATGGCTCTTCAAATGCCTTCATATTCTAAATATTTCATGTAACATCGTAAAAATCCAGGGTCGGATTTTTACGCCACGTGTTTGTGTAGTCCCATATACATCTTTCTGTGTACAGTGTTTGTAATTTCACCAAGACTTGGCCAAATTTATTATCATTTTGAAGATTCCAGAACCTTGCAATACACACAAATTCTTATATGCTAGATGATCAACCTTTTCTGGCCGATTCCACACCGTTTCTTTCACAATGCAATCGCATGACCAGAACTCGACTTCATCTTTAAGAGAGATTTATGCATTAGATTTGATGACATAAAAACAAATTGTCTATAGCCTTACAAGTAGGTTGATTTTTTTGAAAGTCTGTGGAATCTTGTTACATATTATATAAAATATTTCTCTATATTTGGATATAATATTATCAGTACCGTAGGCCGAATACCATTGATTTATTTAATTGCATGATGGACTTGCATCAACCAAATAAAACATCTAAATATTCTTTCTACCTTATCCATATAACAAAGAGAATAGTACTAAGTGCCTAGTTATTGGGAGAAACATAATGTACTGGTTGTACAGTAGGGAATACATTTTTTTCTTTTGCTTGTTATATGTACTTGCATACATGTATATATTTACACGAACATACATATATATATTTGATATAAATTTGAAGAGTATATAATATATATGTGACCATCCACCTTCCATCCCCAAATAGCAAACTTTGAAGACGCATCTAGGAGCAGCCGCTCTTTTGCCCGAATGCTATTAAAGAAATTAAGCATGTTTTATGCTTGTAAGTAAACAACCAGGGGACCGAGGGCTTTAAATCCTCTCCGAGGGACTGCATAATGAGGATTAATGCCTTCCCAAAGAGCATGAGTGCATTGACTCAGTTTTGAACCCGGGACCTCTTGGTTAAAAGACCACCGCTCTACCACTGAGCCATCGTGCCTCCTTGTGCTATTGTGTAATAGAATTCAGGGTGGATGGTGACAATGATTGTAAATTTGTTG